CCCAGCTCCCCCTTCTCCGCAGCCTCGGGGGCCTGCGGGAGAGGCTGGCCCGGCAGGGCACGGTCGATGTCCGCTACATGATTGTCAATGAGAAGGCACCGCTCTCCCGTGCCATGTTCGGGGAGCTGGAACGCCAGGCCCCGCCAGGCGTCCCCGTCTTCCAGCCGGAGCCGGAGGAGCCCGACGTCTGGCAGGTCCTGGGGGGTGACAAGGACGACTTCCTCATCTACGACCGGTGAGCGTCCTCCACCTTGGCTGAGGCTTCCCTGGGAGGGTTACGGAGCATTTGGTGGGTTTCCCAAAGCTCCCCCCATGGCTGGGCTGGGGGGAGGACCCCAGACCCCTCTGCCCCAAGCCAGGCCATGGCATCTCCCCGCAGGTGTGGCCGTCTGGCTTTCCACATCCAGCTGCCCTACAGCTTCCTCCACTTCCCCTACGTGGAGTCGGCCATCCGCTTCACCCACAGCAAGGACTTCTGCGGCAACTGCTCCCTCTACCCCAACACCACCCAGGAGGTAAGGAGCAGGGATGCTGGCTGCAGCCGGGCTCCCTTCTCTCCTCTGGCACTGCACATCAGGGAAAAAACCAACCTTATCTTCACGTCGAGGACAGGCTCTGGCTTGGCAGCCATCCTTCTCCGTGGTTGAGAGGGAAGGTGATGAAAGGTCTGGAATAAGGGCTGTTAAATAGGTCAGAGCTTTCAAGTTGAGAAGGAACGGACTGAAGCAGTCACAGCCCCAGGTCTGGAAAAGCTGACTAGGGTCACTGGCTGTTCTGATATAAGAATGGAGCAGGCAATGGACCCAGAGGTGCCAAGCTCAGAGCGAAGAAAAGGATGTAGCTCCAAGCTCAGCAGGCAATTAGTCACTTCCTAGGAGAAGAAAATCCATCTAGAAATATTAAATGTAAAGTCCCTTTCCTGGCTCAGAAATTCCCTGGACCACAGATAGCTTGAGCCAAGGGATGTAGGTAGAGAGGCTTGTGCTCCATGTGCTCCAGCCTCTCCTGTCCTCCCTACACCCTGGGTCGGGGCTGGAGAGCCTTTGCTCTGACCCACGCAGCTTTCTGCGTGACGGATGCTGGTCTGCTTTCATCCCAGCTCACAGGCATGCTCGCAGGCTCACGGGGGAGCCACGTGTGCATTCGCATACCACACCAGCCCCTGTGTTACTTTCCCCAGGCTAACAGTACCATGGAGGTCCCTGTAACCCTGAGCCCACTTCCTGAACAAGAGGGGAAGGAGTCAGAGACCCCCATCCACCAGCACAAACCCCTCCATCCTCACCACCACCACCACGAGGCCAGCAGCGAGAAAGCCACCAACCTGAGTGGGGACCGTGAACCTGCCGCCCACGCTCACCACCACCATGGAGACCGCAGCCAGCCCCACCACGAGGGGAAGAAGCAGGAGGAGGGAAGTGAGCACTAAGTCAGGCTGGGCAGCCTTGCAGAAGTACCCAGTAGTGTGCAGACAACGCCAACTCGCTTCCCAGAGGCATGAAAGGACTCGCTTTGGACTGCTGGTCACCAAGAGCATTGGTATAACAACCCCCTCCAGCATTCCCCATGTGGGTTGTACTCCCACCCTGTGACCAGGGATGAAAATCCCTCTCTGACCCCCCGAGATGCTGCACTTTCAGCCCCAGGGCTCGGTTCTGAGCCTTCCTCTGCCGCCGCCTGCCTTTCCGTGCTCAATGAAGCCTGCGGTGCAAACCGGGAGCTCCCCGGTCGCTGCTGGCTGACACCGCTCGGAGCAGCAGGGCAGGGGTGGAGGGGCCAGAACTGGGACCGGAGCAGCACTGCCAGCACGCCCTGCCCATTCTGGCACCCCGGGGTGCCCTGGCCAGGGAGCGAGGGGAGGGACAGCGTGTGCCCCGCAGGAAATGATCCCGGGGGATGGGGACACTAGGAGTGGTGGGAGGTTGCAGCTCCCCATGATCTAAACCCTGTACCCCTAAACCCTGTACCCCCATAGCTGTCACATCCTGGGGACCCTCCAGGCCTTGCACACGGGCATGTGCAGTGGTGATGGGTGGCCGCAAGATGGTGGCCTTGTCCCCTCTTGGAGACCTAGGGGCTGTATCCAGGGCCCACAGCCCTGGGAGGACGGGAGTGAGGATCCTGGGGTCTCTCCTGGGGGAGAAGTGAGATCGGAGGGCGATGCAAGTATCCAGAGTACAAATAAAACCTCTGCGAAGCGAACCCTGCTCAGCCTGGCCTCTGGTGGGGCCCCTTCCCCGGGGTGGGAGGCTCGCCCAGCACTGGGCTGGCCCTGGGCATTTCTCTTGGGACCAGGAGGGACTTGGGGCTGGATGTGGATCCCATAAAGCATTTCCCTGTTCAGAGACTGGGCCATAAAGGGGTTGAAGACCAAAGAGACCCTGTCTTTTCATACCTCCTGATTACCTCCTGCCAGGATGTGAACCAGGACTTGGTCCCCCCGCCAGGGGAGGGCATTAACCCTGCACCACCAGGAGGAGGTTTGGCTCAGCACCTCAATCTCTGGCTTGTAGGTGTGATGTTGGAGTGCCTGCCCTGAGCTGCTGTTGTGGGGCTCAAATTCCCACATGCAGTCCAAGGTCATCTTGGACGTCTTGTCCCCATTGCTCAGCCTGGTCCCCATTGCATGCATGGTGTTGGGGGCTGCCCATCTCTCAGGCAGCTGGGTGCTGCATCCCTGGCAGGCAGCCATGCCTGCCTGCACCCCAGGCTGCCCCCATGTCTGTGTCAGCCCCGTAGCCCTTCACTCCAGCTCCATCCACCATTACACATCACCCCAACTCAACGCCTCCCCCATATCCTCTCCGAGCCCCACAGCCTGAGTGGGGAGCAAAGAGATGTTTTTTTCTGCTCAGCGTTACGCGGTTGCAGGGGGATGCTCTGCCCGGCGACTGGGGTGAAGAGGGGCTGCTCCTCATGGGGCTGAGGGCAACAGGATCATGCGGGTCTTTCTCACCAGCCCGTGGGAGCCAGCCAGGAGCTGGCTGAGACCCTGCTCCCCCTCCCTCCATCTCTCTTGCTCCCTCCCTCCCTCACTCCCTCCTCCTCCTCCTCCCCCTTCCTCCTCTACCTGCTCCCAGCAGTCCACAAGGGCACCTCTGTCTGCTGCTGCTGCCATCAATATCGAGGTTATCTTTTTCTTCTGGCAGCTGCTGTAATTGAAACAAAGCAGGCCGGGCCTCACGGGCTCCACTCCTCTCGCTCATTTTGCCGGTGCTGCTGAGACAACTAATTCATCTTATCGACGCCTGGCTGGCCTCTTTTCCACCAGATCCAGGCAGAGCCCTCTCCCCACCACGGCTGGTGGGAGCAGTCTGCGCCCCTGCGGCGTGCTGCCGGGTGCTGCTCTGGCCCAGCCTCTGGTCCTTGGCTTGCAGCAGCTGGGTGCTGGCCACCAGCAGGAGATGCCAGGGGAGCCGGCTGTGGAGGAGAAGAGCACACAAGAAGGATGCTGATGACTTTTATCACTTCCTTTTGCTTTCTGATGCTTCCTCAGCCCTTCCGTTAAATTCCACATCCTTGCCTTGCGCAGATCCTGAAGGTGTCCCTGGCAAGTAGGTGACATTGTGATGAGTGGGGCACACACAGATTTGCATTCCCTTGCTGACGACCAGCTCTGCAATTAGCAGTGGCAGATAGAGGGATGGCGTCTGGTGCTGAGTGAGTAGCCCGGTGGCACTGTGCTGCTGCTATTTGGCTACCTCCCAGCAGACGAATTTCCGGCCCTGAAGACTTGGGTTTGTATTTTGCTTTGGGTAGAGAAATTGAGGTGTGGGAAAGAGCTGTGACACTGCTTGGGTGAAGTCTGGTGTGTCTGAGTAATGGCCAGGGTTTAGGGTGAAGCCGATGCTGCTCCATATGTTATTGGCCAAAGGCCTGAAGGGTTTGGAGCCCCCCCATGGCATTGCCTCCCTTCCTGAAAGGTGCTGGAGACCTGGAGCTCTTCAAAAGCTGTGTCAGTGTCTACACTCCAGTGGTGCTGAGGGAGAGCTTTGCTCTGAGCAGGCTGGAGGAGAGGTATTTTGGGGGAGTTAACAGGCTCTTCACATGGCTGATGTCTGGGGGAGTAGTGCTGTTAGCAGGAGCCAGGGAGCTCCAAAGGAGTGCTTGCTGTCGGGGGGGGGCTGGCTCAGCAGGGGAGGGTCTGGGGCAAAAAATTAGGGCTGAGGGAGCCAGGGAGGTCCAAAGGAGTGCTCGCTGTCGGGGGGGGGGGTGGCTCAGCAGGGGAGGGTCTGGGGCAAAAAATTAGGGCTGACTTCAGGTCCCAGCCGTGCTGTGCTGTGGTACCCCGGTGCCCATGGCTGTGCCACCACCCCAGAGGAGGACAGACCCCGGTCCCGCACCACGTGCAGCCTGCTGCCTTGGCCCTGCGTGCTGCTCCTGCCCAGGGCCCGGCAGAGCCTCTCAGGAGAGGGGGAACAGCCAGTCCTAATGTCAACAGAGGCCTCTTGTGCAGCGATGCCGTGTCAAGAAGAGGAATGGGTCCCTCCTCCTCCACCCATTCATCTGGCAGCCGGGGCTGGCGCACCGCCAAGCCAGGCTGCTTTGGAAACATTTCATTGAGGAGGCAGCTGAGCCTAGGAAAACAGAATGAAAATATACAGAGAGATCACTGTTGTTAGGCAAAATAAATGCAGGCGGCTGCATTTCTGTCCCCCAAGTCCAGACCAGCCAGGCCCCTCTTGCTTCTGGAGGGTGAGGGTGAATGCTGCTGCCTGGGAATGGCAGCCACGTATCCCCATCGTGGGTTAGGAGCTGGGGAACGAGGGCTGCAGAGCTTGTCCCCAGCTTTGGCCAACTTGCTGACGTCCTTGGTGAGTAGGTCCAGACTCATCTTGATGTAGGATGATTGCCCAAGGAGATGGGATGGAGCAGAGAAACAGCTGCAGAAATGAGCTAGCCCCAGTGACTCCTGTGCCCTGCTTGGCCACCGGCACCGGAGGCCGGTGAGGCTGGGGCTGAGGAAGTGCGTCAGATATTGGCCTCATGCATTCCCACCTCCCTCCCCAGCATCAGTCACAAGTCCTGGCCAGGCACGAGGCCACCGGCAGGGCAGAGCCCAGTCCCCAGGTTTTCAAAGCCCCGTTGCTCGGCATGCCTCATCTCTCGTCTGGTGACAGAAAGAAAGCAAAGTCACCCCACAGCAGTCCCCAGGGACAGAGGGTGGAGGCACCTCTCTGACTTCTGAGCAAGGTGCATTCAGCAGGTTCACCTCTCATGTTGTTTCCCCCATAACCTCTCTCCTCCCTCCAGAGGCCTCCAAGTCTCTCCCTGGCCATTTGCTGACCTATAAGAGACCTATCTCAGCTCCTTCCCTCCCTTCTGGTGGGTGCAGTGTGGTTTGGGGGGGGGCAGAGCTGGAGGCCTGGCCCCATGGGACATCAAGGCTCTCACCCCTCCGCAGGTGCTCCCAGTGCCCCGTGGCTTCACCTCCTCTCTCTGTCCACTGAGCACGGCCTGGCCATCGCCGTGCAAGAACAAAACAGGCATTTCTCCATGCTGCTGGTTTCTAGCTCCTACCTCTGTTCGCCAGTGATGGACAATGGCATGGAGGGAACAATTTGCTTCTGTTATTTATGGTTTTGATCTGGGGATTGAAAGGAGTCCAGTGTGAGCAGACAAAGCCCAACCAGCACCCCGGGAGAGACACATCTCACCAGCCCAATGCATGTGGATTTGCAGCATGCGGATGCCCAAGGCTGAGACTGGATCCCACGCTGGTCCCTGCATTCATAGGAGCTTTACTAAAATTCAGACTCACTCCTCTTGCCCTCCCACCAGGAAAGCAGCTAGCAAGCTATGTTTTTGCTGCCATGCAAGGGGAGATTGGCCATGTGTCTCTCCGTCTGTCTCTCCCCAAGATGAGCAGTTTGCGACGCCTGGTTTCCAGCCGAACCAAGGTGCAGTGCTGAGCCACCGTGTCCTGCTCTTGCATCGGGTGGCTTCAAGCAGTCAGCCTCATGCTGGGACTGCTGGTGCCTCTGCTGAAGCTTTGCCACCGTCTGCTGCCAGCTCCTACACATGGAGTGATGTGTGAGGACAAAAGATGGGTAGACGAGGTGCTCAGGGACAAGGTTGAGTGGTGGGATGGCAGGGTTATGTTAATGGTTGGACTTGATGATCTTAAAGGTCTTTTCCAACCTAAATGATTCTATGACTCTATGACATGCTGTCCTGCAGGGGAGCTGGGATGGGTGGGCTGTTAAAGGGAAGGTCAGTATGGTGCAACCTTCCCTTGTCCCACTGCGCCCCAACCGAGCCACGCAGGGTCTGGCCTCATGAGTGGGTCCCTGCGAGGACTCTCTGCACTGCCAAGAGCTGAGGTGTGTGGGCATCCATCATGGGGAGCGTACCTGACCGTCTTGTAAAGGAGCTGGAGGGAGAGGACGGACCCATGGAGCAGCCTCTGAGAGAAGGCACTGTAGCACC